ACCCGCCTAAGTTTTTTGGCGAACCTGATCCTGAGGTGGCGGAGAATTGGTTGGAAAGGATGACCAATATATTCGCTGCTTTAGACTACACTGAGGATAGGCGAGTGAATTTCGCTGCTTTCCAATTTGAGGGGGTAGCCCGTGCTAGATGGGATTTGATAAAAGGAAAATGGGAGAGAACTCGAACCTCTTGGACTTGGGATAATTTCACAAGGGAATTTAATGAAAAGTTTCTTCCGCCCTTAATCCAAGAAAAGAGGGAGGATGAATTTATCAAACTGAAACAGGGAACCCGTAGTGTAGCGGAGTATGAAGGAAAATTTACTAAACTTTCAAAGTATGCTCCCGAACTGGTGACAAATGAGCGAAAAAGGAATAGACGGTTTGTTCAAGGACTTAATGTGGAGATACAAGAGGGCCTGGCTGCAGCCCAAATCTCTACATTTACTGAGGCTTTAGAGAAGGCACAAAGGGTTGAAAGTGTAAGGTCTCAAGTGAGAGACTTCCATAGCAGAAAGAGAAACTTTTCTAGCCATGCTTCTGGACAAGCTAAAAAAAATGTACAGCCTTCCAAAATGGGAAAAGGAATGGGAGGACCAAGGACTGCTGGACTTTCAAGAGGAGCTTTATCTAGAGGAGGTCGTAGTGGACCAACACAGGCAAGAAGGGTGCCTTCTAGCAGTTCAGCGGTGACCCCTCAAGTTTCGTGTGGTTATTGCGGAAAACCAAACCATTCAGAGAGTGACTGTTGGAGGAAGTCTGGGAAGTGCCTGACTTGTGGTAGTACCGAGCATCAGCTTGCGAACTGTCCAAATAAAATGAAGACGGGAGGTGATACCCAAAGACCATAAAAGTCAGCTTCTAAGCAAACTAGTGCCGGAGGGAGTCGATCGAAAGTACCGGTTAGGGTTTATGCACTGGACTATCAACAAGTTCCTGAGGCAACTGAGGTGGTAGAAGGTACGATTCCGATATTTCACCGTTTAGCTAGGGTTTTAATTGATCCAGGTGCTACACATTCTTTCGTAAACCCTAATTTCATGAGTGGGATAAACTTGAAACCAATTAAGTTACCATATGATCTAGAGGTTAAAACGCCTACTGGGGAACGAAAATTATCAGCTGATTTGATGGGATTGATGATTAAGGGATACGATGTAATTTTAGGAATGGATTGGTTAGCCCGTTATAATGCTCAGTTAAACTGTAGCACGAAGGTTGTGGAGTTGCGTATTCCAGGAGAAGCAACCCTGAAACTGAATGTAAAAGGGAAATTAGCCTCGTCTGCACTTATTTCAGGAATTCGGGCTAGAAAGTTGTTAAGTAAAGGAACTCAAGGATATTTGGTTTTTCTTACTAACACCCCTAGTGATAAGGTGAAATTGGAGGACATGCCTGTAGTGAAGGACTTTCCTGATGTTTTTCCTGAAAAATTGGAGTCCCTACCCCCGGAACAGGAAATATCCTTTAAGATTGATGTAACTCCGGGAGTAACCCCTATTTCTAGGACGCAATATCGAATGGCCCCAGCCGAATTGAAAGAGTTGAAATTGTAATTACAAGATTTGCTAGAAAGGGATTTTATTAAAGAGAGTGATTCTCCGTGGGGAGCCCCAGTTTTGTTTGTTAAGAAAAAGGACGGGAGTTTGAGGCTATGTATAGACTATAGAGGTTTAAATAATGTTACAACTAAAAATAAATACCCACTGCCCCACATTGATGAGTTGTTTGACCAGTTACAAGGGGCTGTAGTATTTTCTAAGTTGGATTTGAGACAGGGTTATTATCAGTTGAGGATTTTGGAGAAGGATATACCCAAGACTGCTTTTAACTCGAGATATGGGCATTTTGAATTTGCCGTGATGCCATTTGGGTTAACGAATGCTCCTGCTACTTTTATGGATCTAATGCATAGGGTCTTTAAATCTTATCTAGACCAATTTGTGGTGGTCTTTATTGATGACATATTAGTGTATTCTAAAAATGTGCAAGACCATGAGAAACACTTGAGAGTTATTTTACAGACCTTAAGGGAGCACCAATTGTATGCTAAGTTTAGCAAGTGTGAATTTTGGTTAAAAGAAGTGACTTTCTTGGGACACATAATTTCTAAGGATGGGATTAAAGTGGATCCAGCTAAAGTTGAAGCTGTTTTGAAATGGAAACGACCGGAAAACCCTACCGAGGTTCGGAGTTTTATTGGATTAGCAGGGTATTACCGGAGATTCATTCAGGATTTTTCGAAAATTGATGGACCCATGACTGAATTGACCAAGAAAAATGGGAAGTTTATATGGAGTCCTAAGTGTGAGGAAAGTTTTCAGGAATTGAAAAGACGGTTAACAAGGGCACCTGTGTTGGCTTTGCCAAACGGAAAAAATAGTATTGTGGTTTACACAGACGCTTCTAAGGAAGGACTGGGATGTGTTTTAATGCAAGATGGCAAAGTAATAGCATATATCTCTAGGAAATTGAAACCCCATGAAGGGAATTACCCGACTCATGATTTGGAGTTAGCGGCTGTGGTCTTTGCTTTGAAGAAATGGAGACATTATTTGTATGGGGTAACCTTTGAGGTTTTTACAGACCACAAAAGCCTTAAGTACTTGTTTTCTCAAAAGGAGCTGAATTTGAGGCAACGTAGATGGATGGAATTTTTAGAAGACTATGATTGCACTATCAAGTACCATCCAGGGAAAGCTAATGTAGTGGCCGATGCCTTGAGTCGTCAAGTACAAATGGCTGGGTTGATGATTAAGGAGTTTCAATTATTGGAAGAAGTGAGTTACTGGAATCCTCAATTGGAACCAAGGAAGGTAATTTTGGGGAATATTATAATAACTTCCACTCTATTGGAACGCATCAAGGAATTTCAAGAAAAGGACACGGAAGTGCAAAAATGGGTGGAAAAAGAGTAAAATGGGAGACAAGACAGATTTTAATTTGGGGTCAGATGGAATATTGAGGTTTCGGAATCGAGTAGTTGTGCCAAAGGATGAACGGCTTAGAAAGGAAATCTTAGAAGAGGCACACCGATCAAAGTTTACGGTACATCCAGGAGGGAATAAAATGTACCAGGACTTGAAGAGTCTGTATTGGTGGGAGAACATGAAGAAGGAAATTGCCCAATTTATCCAAACATGTTTAATTTGTCAACAGGTTAAAGCCGAACATCAGAAACCATCAGAACTTTTGCAACCTTTAGAAATATCTGAGTGGAAATGGGAGAATATCACTATGGATTTTGTATCGGGATTACCCAAAACGCAGAGAGACCATGATGCAATTTGGGTAATAGTGGATAGATTGACCAAATCGGCTCATTTTCTGCCGATTAACATGAAGTACCCGTTAGAGAAGTTGGCCAAATTGTATTTGGATGAGATTATTAGGTTGCATGGCATAGCTGTGAGTATTGTGTCCGACAGGGATCCGAGATTTGTTTCGAGATTCTGGCAAAAGATGCAGGAGGTATTGGGGACTAAGTTGAACTTTAGTACCACTTATCATCCTCAGACTGATGGACAGTCGGAAAGGACAATTCAAACACTTGAGGACATGTTAAGGACATGTATTCTGGACTTTGGAGAAAATTGGAGTAAGTTTTTAACTTTAGTGGAATTTGCCTACAACAATAGTTTCCACTCTTCTATTGAGATGGCACCGTATGAGGCACTCTATGGTCGGAAATGTAGGTCTCCAATTTGTTGGGACGAAATAGGTGAACGGAAAATCCTAGATCCGACCACAGTATTTTGGATTGAGGAAGCTAATGAAAAGGTAAAGTTGGTACGACAAAGAATTCAGGTTGCCCAGAGCCGCCAAAAGAGTTATGCTGATAATCGGAGGAAAGAATTGGAGTTTAATGTTGGAGATTTGATATTTCTCAAGATTTCACCTCTGAAAGCAAGGTTGAAGTCCGGAAAAGGAAAGAAATTACAACCAAGATTTGTAGGGTCTTATAAGGTCATCCAACGTGTGGGGAGTGTAGCCTATAAGTTGGAATTACCGCCGAGTTTATCTCGAATCCATAATGTGTTTCACGTATCTATGCTTAAGAAATATCATCCGGACCCTTCTCATGTCTTACAACAGGAAAATGTTGAGATTGATGAGACCTTAACCTATGAGGAGAAACCGGTTAAACTTCTGGATAGAAAGGTAAAGGAATTGAGAAATAAACAGATACCATTAGTGAAGGTCCTCTGGAAGAACCATGGGTTGGAGGAAGCAACTTGGGAGGTCGAAGAAGCAATTCGAGAAAAGTATCCAGACCTGTTCGTCAATCAAGATAAATTTCGAGGACGAAATTTCTTAAGGGGAAGAGGATGTGAGGATTCGAAAATTCTATTATTTTTTTTAACTCCCTAATTTTGGCTAAAATAATTATTTATTTGGATTATTGCCACGAATAATATTTTCTAGCCTTATTAGACCAAAGTATATGATTTTTATAGTTTCGTCATATTTCTAAAATGTCTCATTTCGAAAAAAAAATAAAATAAAAATATAGATAAATAAACAAATATTTTCATAAAAGCTTAATTAGTGAAAAAATGAAAACGTATCTCAAAACTTTAGCCAATTGGGAGTACAATAAGCTCAAAATTTGAGACCTAAACAATGGTCCTAAAATAGACAATTTTAGGTTTAATTACACAAGTGATAGCTAGTGGTACAATCGTTATAGGAATTTCTCAAAGGTTTCAATTTTTATTGCGCCTAAATTAGAAATACGTGGTTTCACGTGCGCGCTTAATTGGGGGACTTTGGACCATTATTTGGGGACAATTAAGAATGAAAAATATTTATATAAATGTAAGTGTCTTAGAGGTTTAGTGCACTAGTGCAACAAACGTAAGAGAAATCGAACACAAAACGCGCGCGTAGGGTACTAGTTATAATTGATTTGACGTATTAAAAGATTTGACGTCAAGCGTCTTTCATACGCAAAGGCTTCAGAACCGCATTTCATTTCATTTCATTTCTTCTGTTGCAACGGACGGCTAGCAGCTGCAAGGGACAACCGAAGCTTCACCATTTCTTTCTTCCAAAACTCATCCAAATCCTTACCAAAACTTCCATAGATTCTCACCAAACTTCACATTCATTTAGCTTTTCACTTGGACAACAACTTAGCTGCAAAAGGAAGGAGCTATCCACGGTTTCTTCAAGCTTCAAAGGGCCGAAAAATCTGTCCAAACCAGCCATCAAAGTAGGTAGTAATCAAGCACCTTAAACTTGTCTTATGGAAGTTGATCTATGCATTTGAGTTGGAATCTTCACTTTAGTAGCTTGTATTGTTGGAAATGTGGCCTCTATGAACTCCCACTTTGGTTTGATGGCTGTGATGATGTTTGATGATGGTTTTATTGCTGCATTAGAGCTTAAGGAAGTAGATTAAAGGTGTATTGTGGCCAGAAACGTTGTTGAACTCTTGAAGCAAAAAGTTCCCATTTTACCCCTGTTCTATTCGGTCACTTTAATGCAGAAATTTGAGGATTTAATGGCTTGATTGTGTTGTTTATATGTTGTAGTAGTTGTGTAAACATTTTCATTGAAAAATACTGAGTTTTGGTAGGTCAAACGAATTTATTTCAAAAACTAGTAATCTGGAAAACGGTTTCGCCGTAATCCAGACCAGTGTTTGTATTTCGTCCATAACTCTGTACTCCGACGTCGAAATCAAGTGCCGTTAGTGGCATTTGAAACTAGACGTTTCCATGTTTCCAACGGTGCATAATGAACATTCTGGTTTTTGGTGTGTGAGCCACACCATTCATCTGAAGTCGGCTGTCCTGTTTCTCCGTTCTGCCGAAATGATTTGATGATACTGCAACTTGAGGCTTGATTTTGAATCAGTTGCATGCTGAAACTTAAAACAATTTCTTCTGTGAAGTTGTAGCCCTATGAATGTATTTTCTAACACTATCAACCATTTCCAATTCCGAGTTAAATTGAGGGAGTTATGATCAATACACGGCAACTGCCTCGTTTTTGAAAACCTTAGCTTTGGACAGATTGCCTTAAGGATTTTCCAAACTTTGGTTGATTGATTAACCACCTTTCCGAGGGTATTTTTCCATGAGATTTGATAGAGAGTTACCCTTCATATAGGAGTAGTATTCCGCAAAATTTGGTGTCAATTCAAGTCCGTTTCGACACTTAACAAAAGGTCCAAAGTCGGAACCAAATCTGGAAATTTTGTAACAGTATTGAATTTTTCCCAATTTGGAGCTACCATATCTTGGTGCTCGAAACTCCGATTCTCGATCTGTTTGTTCTGCCCTAAACCTTACTTGCACCTCTAATTGAGCTATAAGTTTCAAGGACTGGTTTACAACGAGTGAATTCTGCCGAATTTTCAAAGTTAGCGAAAAACCAACCCCGGCTCAATCCTGGGTGATTTGGAACAGCAACTTTAGGCTCATTTTTGAGCACTTTCCACTTCGATTCATGGAAAAGTGTCTTCTAAGAACTTGCAGAACTTTGTAAGGTTTTCAATGGTATAAAGTTTTCCAATTCTCGACTTATGCCGAGTGAGTTACGATTTTTTAAATATTCATAACAAAACTGAAATTTTTCAACTTTCAAGGAAATAGAGTTTTTCAAGAACTCTTTATTCTTTTGATATTATCTAAACGTTTTATCCCCGATTTCCTAGATAAAGACTTAAATATTGTTGAATGTTATCAAACCTCTCTCGAACCTCGATTTACGAGTAATTGAGGTTCATTTTCACGGAATTCCCTAGAGTAATACTAGTGAACGAATTATTCCTCGTTATTTGGGATATGGATGATAATTCACTATTATTTGCTCAGGCACGCACGAGAACCTCCAAGAGGACCCTACTGTGGAAGTTTGAACTCTTCCTCCAATTTACTTGCTTGCATAACTTGGTGAGTGTCAAGTGTATGCCTACTTGAACTCTAAAGACTTAATTCCTGTTTGACTTACCTGATTACATGCTTAGTCTATTGGATTTTGAAAAATGGAGTCAAGTGTGTACTTAATCGCACTCGTTCTCATTTGGAACAAATGACTCACGTTTGACATGCTTTGCATGGTATATATGACTTGAAATACATGATTAAAACTGTCAAATGCTTTAATATATGACATGGTATGCTACGATTGCATACGTCGATGGAGTGAATCTCCTCGACATTTACATGATACATGGGGGACGCCCAAACTCATAGGCCGACCTTGGAACCCGAGCCGGCATGGGCTTGGTCGGGAACCTCGGTGAACCATGAGATTCACATGATAAGCTTGATCTATTGAGAGATCTCGCTTGGCATACTCGTAAAGTATCGCCTTATAAATGTCGTGCGGGCCCGAAGTGGTGTATGGTGGACGGATGAGAAGTAAGTGGTGAACTACGGATATGAAAATATCAACCCGGGTGACGGAGAGCCGTCACGGGGAGATATACAAATGACATCGGCAAATGTGGAACTTAGCTCCTGAGAGCTTCTATATTCTTGAATTGTTTCTGGTTACATTTTTGTTGGCGTTATTAATTACTTGCAAGCTATTACCTAATTGTTAATTGGGCTTGTTATCTGAACTAGGTGTCTGCATGTGTGTTCTTGGCCTCACGAGCGTTTTGCTCACCCTGTAGATTTGTTTTCCTTAACAGGTTTGAATTCGGAGGTAAAATGGAGCAGCCCTCTTGATGTATTTTTGTTTTAGGGCTTGCTATTACTTTTGGTTATGCCTTTGGTTTTGGATTGTACTTTTGGTATGGAAATGTAACCTTTGGACGAAATGTATTATGTATACTGACGTGTGGTTTGGAGACTGGATGACTGTTATTAAGTTTGAACACTTCCGCATTTATTGTATCTAAGTTATCGATTTGTATTGTGTGGTCCGAATATAAGTTGGATGGAATTGTTTGAGTCCTGGCGAGAGCTAGGCAGGCGTCCCGCGGATACCCTTTGGTTCGCCTTAGGGAGAAGTGGGGGCGTCACAGTTGGTATCAGATCGCTAGGTTAGAGGTCTATATGGGAGACATATTAGATACTCTACTTTTAAGACTCGATACGGGATGACTTAATCATACCCTAAGTGATACTTGAGGCGAGCTAGCAACTAAGTTAGTCCTACCTCAAGTGACAATCGAGATGAACCAACGATTAAGTTACGCATGCATTGCAGGATATTGGAACTAGGTAGTGATTTAAATTTCTAACCTGAAAAGTATTGTTATTTTGCAGGGAAGGATAACGGAAATGGAGCCCCGACAGCTAACGGGAATGGCCATGCGAATGGTCATTATGAGCCTCTTAGGACTATCTTCTACCGAACTCTAGCGGGAGGAGCTCGAGTACGCTACTCACCATATGATAGATACCCTCGATGTTCGTGTAGGTTGACTTTCGCCTACCCGAACTATCTAGTGCTTGCTCTGGACGACGAGCGTCGTCAGTTGGTGGATGCCAACCGCGATCTACAGGCTGAGGTAGACGAGTTTCGGCAGATGGTTAGCGCTCAGGGTGAGCGGATTGCCGAGCTCGAGGAGGTGATTGAGGGGAAGGTAGCCATATCTGCAGTGGTTAATGAGGAGTTTCGGGATACTAGGGCTCGACTCACTAGACTAGGACGGGATGTCCGTAATCGGGCTTTTGAGATCCAGGCTGATGCTACTAGATTGGTTGAGGACGCTACTGAGGTGATTCCTGATCCTGAGGAGGAGGATCCCGAGGAGGAGGTTCATCCTGATAGTCCTGCTGCGGACTAGGTCTAGATTGATCGACCTCTTTTGACCCTTTTTGACTAGTATTAGCAGGGATGATGCTAAGTGCTGAGGTCATTGTATTTTGCATGACTGTGTGACCTATTTCTGAGGCACTAGCTTTACTTTAGTCTTCTGTGACTAAAAGTACTCTTGTGGCACCTGTGTGCTATATTTTTTTTGACTACCCCATGACTTGCTAATTGTATGAACTGGATATGCTAATTAATGTAAATTATTGTTAATTCCAATGTTTTCTTGATTGGTTCCTGCTTTCTATTTTTGCATCGCATAATTATTTATTTCTTGCGCTAGGCACGCCTAGGTCATGGAAGGACTAAGAGGTGGTCGAGGTCGTGGTCGAGACCGTGGTCGAGGTCATGGTCGAGGTCGTGGTCGAGACCGTGGTCGAGGTCATGGTCGAGACTGTGGTCGAGGTCGTGGGCGAGGGACTAGTCAGACCCAACCTCAAGGGGGTGACCAGGGATCGGCAACTGCACCTTTAAAGGGTAATCAAGTGGCTACTGCCATTAATAGGATGACTGATATCCTAGAGCGTTTGGCTGATAGACAGGACCCTAGACCGTTCAACCAACCTGTGGGTCAGGAGAGAGGAATGGATAGAGCCTTTGAGAGATTCTTGAAATTTAACCCGCCAAAGTTTCTTGGCGAACCTGATCCTGAGGTGGCGGAGAATTGGTTGGAAAGGATGACCAATATATTCGCTGCTTTAGACTACACTGAGGATAGGCGAGTGAATTTCGCTGCTTTCCAATTTGAGGGGGTAGCCCGTGCTTGGTGGGATTTGATAAAAGGAAAATGGGAGAGAACTCAAACCCCTTGGACTTGGGATAATTTCACAAGGGAATTTAATGAAAAGTTTCTTCCGCCCTTAATCCAAGAAAAGAGGGAGGATGAATTTATCAAACTGAAACAGAGAACCCTTAGTGTAGCGGAGTATGAAGGAAAATTTACTAAACTTTCAAAGTATGCTCCCGAACTGGTGACAAATGAGCGAAAAAGGATTAGACGGTTTGTTCAAGGACTTAATGTGGAGATACAAGAGGGCCTGGCTGCAGCCCAAATCTCTACATTTACTGAGGCTTTAGAGAAGGCACAAAGGGTTGAAAGTGTAAGGTCTCAAGTGAGAGACTTCCATAGCAGAAAGAGAAACTTTTCTAGCCATGCTTTTGGACAAGCTAGTAAAAATGTACAGCCTTCCAAAATGGGAAAAGGAATGGGAGGACCAAGGACTGCTGGACCTTCAAGAGGAGCTTTATCTAGAGGAGGTCGTAGTGGACCGACACAGGCAAGAAGGGCGCCTTCTAGCGGTTCAGCGGTGACCCCTCAAGTTTCGTGTGGTTATTGCGGAAAACCAAACCATTCAGAGAGTGACTGTTGGAGGAAGTCTGGGAAGTGCCTGGCTTGTGGTAGTACCGAGCATCAGCTTGCGAACTGTCCAAATAAAATGAAAACGGGAGGTGATACCCAAAGACCAGAAAAGTCAGTTCTAAGCAAACTAGTGCTGGAGGGAGTCGACCGAAAGTACCGGCTAGGGTTTATGCACTGGACTATCAACAAGTTCCTGAGGCAACTGAGGTGGTAGAAGGTACGATTCCGATCTTTCACCGTTTAGCTAGGGTTTTAATTGATCCAGGTGCTACACATTCTTTCGTAAACCCTAATTTCATGAGTGGGATAAACTTGAAGCCAATTAAGTTACCATATGATCTAGAGGTTAAAACGCCTACTGGGGAACGAAAATCATCAGCTGATTTGATGGGATTGATGATTAAGGGATACGATGTAATTTTAGGAATGGATTGGTTAGCCCGTTATAATGCTCAGTTAAACTGTAGGACGAAGGTTGTGGAGTTGCGTATTCCAGGAGAAGCAACCCTGAAACTGAATGTAAAAGGGAAATTAGCCTCGTCTGCACTTATTTCAGGAATTCGCAATCCGTTTGTTCTGCCCTAAACCTTACTTTCACCTCTAATTGAGCTATAAGTTTCAAGGGCTGGTTTGCAACGACTGAATTCTGCCGAATTTTCAAAATTAGCGAAAAACCAACCCCGGCTCAATCCTGGGTGATTTGGAACAGCAACTTTAGGCTCATTTTTTAGCACTTTCCACTTCTATTCATGGAAAAGTGTCTTCTAGGAACTTGCAGTACTTTCTAAGAGGTTTTCAACGGTATAAAGTTTTCCAATTCTCGACTTATGCCGAGTGAGTTACGATTTTTCAAAGATTCATAACAAAACTGAAATTTTCCAACTTTTAAGGAAATAGAGTTTTTCAAGAACTCTTTATTCTTTTGATATTATCTAAACGTTTTATCCCTGATTTCCTAGATAAAGACTTAAATATTGTTGAATGTTATCAAACCTCTCTCGAATCTCGATTTACGAGTAATTAAGATTCATTTTCACGGAATTCCCTAGAGTAATACTAGTGAACGAATTATTCCTCGTTATTTGGGATATGGATGATAATTCACTATTATTTGCTCAGGCACGCACGAGAACCTCCAAGACAACCCTACTGTGGAAGTTTGAACTCTTCCTCCAATTTACTTGCTTGCATAACATGGTGAGTGTCAAGTGTATGCCTACTTGAACTCTAAAGACTTGATTCCTGTTTGACTTATCTGATTACATGCTTAGTCTATTGCATTTTGAAAAATGGAGTCCAGTGTGTACTTAATCACACTCGTTCTCATTTGGAACAAATGACTCATGTTTGACATGCTTTGCATGGTATATATGACTTGAAATACATGATTAAAACTGTCAAATGCTTGAATATATGACATGGTATGCTACGATTGCATATGTCGATGGAGTGAATCTCCTCAACATTTACATGATACATGGGGGACGCCCAAACTCATAGGCCGACCTTGGAACCCGAGTCGGCATGGGTTTGGTCGGGAATCTCGGTGAACTATGAGATTCACATGATAAGCTTGATCTATTGAGAGATCTCGCTTGGCATACTCGTAAAGTATCGCCTTATAAATGTCGTGCGGGCCCAAAGTGGTGTATGGTGGACGGATGAGAAGTAAGTGGTGAACTACGGATATGAAAATATCAACCCGGGTGATGGAGAGCCATCACGGGGAGATATACAAATGACATCGGCAAATGTGGAACTTAGCTCCTGAGAGCTTCTATATCCTTGAATTGTTTTCGGTTGCATTTTTGTTGGCGTTATTAATTACTTGCAAGCTATTACCGAATTGTTAATTGGGCTTGTTATCTGAACTAGGTGTCTGCATGTGTGTTCTTAGCCTCACGAGCGTTTTGCTCACCCTGTAGATTTGTTTTCCTTAACAGGTTTGAATTCGGAGGTAAAATGGAGCAGCCCTCTTGATGTATTTTTGTTTTAGGGCTTGCTATTACTTTTGGTTATGTCTTTGGTTTTGGATTGTACTTTTGGTATGGAAATGTAACCTCTGGACGAAATGTATTATGTATACTGACGTGTGGTTTGGAGACTGGATGACTGTTATTAAGTTTGAACACTTCCGCATTTATTGTATCTAAGTTATCGATTTGTATTGTGTGGTCCGGATATAAGTTGGATGGAATTGTTTGAGTCCTGGCGAGAGCTTGGCAGGCGTCCCGCGGATACCCTTTGGTTCGCCTTAGGGAGAAGTGGGGGCGTCACATTCTGGCCTCTTCCAATTAGTCACAGCCTCTACTTTCGTCGGGTCGACTGAAATACCCTCTTGAGAAATTACGTGCCCCAGAAAAGCAATTTTCTCCAGCCAAAATTCGCACTTGCTGAACTTGGCATACAGTTGATGGTCTCTTAGGGTTTGCAAGACAGTTTTCAAGTGTTGCTCATGCTCTTCACGGGTCTCGGAATAGACCAGGATGTCATCGATGAAGACTACTACAAATCGATCCAGGTAGGGCTTAAAAATCCTATGCATTAGGTCCATGAAGGCGGCAGGAGCATTAGTTAGTCCAAAGGGCATCACTGCGAACTCGTAATGCCCATATCTCGAGTTGAAGGCGGTCTTCGGAATATCCTCCTTCCTGATTAGTAACTGGTAGTACCCTTGGCGGAGGTCCAGTTTCGAGAAAACCGCCGCTCCTTGCAACTGATCAAATAGCT